CCCCCCCCCCATGGTGATGCAGCTGTCACAAGTAGTGACATGGGGAAGCCCCATCTGATGGTTCCATGGCACGGCCACACGTGGGCTCATGGCACATGGCAGCTCACTTCCTGCAGCCGTGCACTGCTTGCTTTGTGCTGCTTTGATGCCTGGGTGATGCCATAATTAGACGTAAAGGAAACGAAGTGAGATGGAACAAATGAAATGTGAGCATGGAAACACACCTGGATCCTAATATTTGCAGACATTCCTAAAAGAATGCATTTATTCCAATGAGCTTCGTATTTTATGTTCCAATCTGTTCTCTCATCTGGAGCAAAGCCAGAAATGAGCCATATCACGAAAAGCCCCAGTGCCAACTCTGCTCCCCAATGCTCTCTCTGTCACCATCTCCCTGTACACAACCACAGCAAGACAAGGATCACTCTCAAAAATGGCCTGCTGTCCGCAGCACCAGGTTCCCTGCAATGCTGTGCCCCATGGCAGTGCTCCATGGCAATGCCTTAAGGCCCTGCAGCAAGGCAATGCCATACCCTGAGGCAATGCCCCATGGTGATGCTGTGCCCCGTGGCGATGCCCCATGTCAGTGTCCTATGGCAATGTATTATGGCAATGACACAGATCCTCTCCAACCACAGCACCCCCATGTTCTGTGCAGGTACTCAGCAGTGCTGGAGTGCTGTATTTTTAGCATAAAACAAAAGGCATCCTAAGTAGCACGTCACTTCAGGCAGCACACATTGTAAAGCTTGTCAGCAGTGACATAATGCAAGCAGAAAATGAACTGGGAAGGACTTCAGCCTGAAATACAAGGGAGCTGAGGACTTTACAGCAGTACTACTGCAGCTGTTGGGGAAAGCCTTGGGCTTCTCCAGGCACGGAATTTCCCTTGGATTGAGGAAACAGAGAGGAACATGAAACATCAGCTCTGTCACTGCTGGAAAGCCTTTTCCCTAACTAAAGGTTACCTCGATCCAGCAGCAGCACCAGGGCTGAGCCGGGAGCTTTGTGCAGTTCTTCCTCCCATTTCCCCCATGCTGCTTCTCTTGGGGGAGAAATCTCCTCTAGGTATGGAGAGATTTGGGAGCAGAACCAGGGATTAGTCACAAGGATAAAGCCTCAGCCCCATCACAGCTGCGATGCTATTCCTGCTGCAGTCCCCAGGCTGCCCGCAGCCGGGAGCCGGTGGAGCTGTGCCAGCCGCCAGCTGGAGGCAGAGCTCAGCCCTCACTGGAGAAACCTTCCCCAGAACTAAGCCCGGGATGAGTTATAGAGCCCCAACTCTGCATGGCAGCAGAAAGTGCAACCACCTCATGCGTTGGTCATTGTGGAAGCCCCAGGAAAACAGCAGGAATAACTGCTGACAGTCAGCACATGGTCCACAATGCTAACAAGCAGAAGCTGTGACTTGGTGATAGGTTACATCTGTAATGCTCCGTGCTTGTGCACACAGCAGTGTAGGGCAGCAGGCACGGCCCCGGGAAGTCACTGGGGCCAAACCCACAATGCACCGCAAACAGCAGTGAGCATCCCACCCGCTCCGTGTCTGTGCACCCTGCTCTGTCTGTGCCACTCGCAGAGTGCTGTTATTGCCATCTTCGTAACAGCAGTGCTGCGTGGAGTGAGCCCCGTGCTGCACACACCTGGTGGCGAGCAGCAGCCCAGCACAGGGCATAGTGCCCACCCCACGGCTGCAGAGCCCTGACCCCCATGGGCTCTGCTCAGTCGGGATCTGTCCCCCAGCAGCTGATGAGGGGACATCCCAACCAAAAATAGCAAAGTGACAAAGCTAGGAGAGCCCTCTTTTTTCAGCTGAAGGTGTGGCAGAGAAGCCCATCAGCTGGAGCATCTTAGAACAAAGGAGCAGCCTTCTACTGGTTTTCCAGACTATGAGCAACCTGTGCAAAACGTTCTGTCGGAATGCTTGTGATTTCCTTCTGCATCTCACTGCCCCTGCCCTGGCTGAAGTCTGTGAGTGGTCCCCGGGATGGAGCAGCACCGATGGCAGCTGCTCCCCCTCGCTCCGTGCACGCTGCAAATGAACTTTTCCTGTCCAGCCTCCAACGTGCTTTGCTAATTGATTCTGCTCATTAACATCAGCGTAAGTTATGTCAAGCACTTCATGGGAACCATCTTAACAGCAGTGCCATAAATTCACAAGTATCCCTTACAGCCCACACGGGTGTTCTTTATGCAAAATCACAGGCACACACGCCAGCAGAAGCCTTAGCACGTGAATGCCATTTGGTTATGCAGAGGTTTAAGGATCCCCTAAATCTCAGCAGCTTTCTCTTCTGACACCGGAGGCATCCGGAGAGGAAATTCTATAGAGCTGCAAAGCAAAGAGCCATCACGCACCGCAACCGAGCAACGGGCGCCGCGACCGTACCTATATTTCATGCCAGTTTGCTTGGCGGTGGATTCCTTGAGCGAGATGTGATGCTGCGGGGTGAAGGTCCCCAGGCTGCGGGCGATAATCGCCACGGTCCGGAATTTGGCCCTGGCTGCGCTCACCACGTTGGGCGCGGCGGCGTTCTGCTTGCTGATGAGCCGCTCTTCCCCATTGCGACTCTTCAGGTTGTGCTCCGTGCAGGCGATGGACACCTGCATCTCGCCCCGCGCCCCGGGGGGGCCGGTGCCTGGGGCACGTCGCCGGGCAGAAGCCCCCAACCCAAGCCCGGCTCGCGGTCACACCTCCCCCGGCGACGGCCTCGGTGGGTCGGGGAGCGGCATCCGCCTTTAGTCGGGCGCTCGGGGGAACATGGAGCTGTCCCCGGTGCTCGCAGGCTTCGCCGCCGCCGCCGCGTTACATCGGTGCGGGAGCGCCCCGAGCCCAGCCGGGCGCCCGGAGCCCCCCCAGGGCCGCTGCACCCCCGGGAGAGGAGCTGCCTTTGGTACGGGCACAAAGGCACCGGTGGAAGAAGCAGCGGGGAGAGCAGCGCTCGGAGCGGCTTGACGTTGAAAATGGGCTAATCATGGGGAAAAAAAGGAAGAAAGAAAAAAAAAAAAAGAGGGGGAGGGCGAGAACAAGCGCTGTGCTCCGGAGTGCCGCTGGGTTAACTCCTTCCTGCCCCACGCTCCCCGCACGGCCGCAGCGAACATCCCCCCGCTTCGGCTTCGGCAGGGGGCTGGGGAGGATCTGTGGGTGTGGGGAGTGGAGGATGGGGTGCAGGGCTGGCTTTGGGGTGAGCGTCTAAAAGCTGGGCTAACTGAGCTCATAGCCTGGGAGTCGCCATCTCAGACACAACGTTTGGAGTCAGGTTACTGCAAAATCATCAATAAATGAATGCTACCCTTCTCAAATAAACACTGCTACGCATCCAATGAGTGGAACTGAGGGTCACTGGCACAGCTGCCCACACTGTGCTTTGCAGAGGGACCCCAAGGAGAGAATCGTAGAATCACAGACTCATTAAGATTGGAAAAGACCTCCAAGATCACTGAATGTCTTAAGCTGGAAGGGTCCTTGAAGACCATTGAGTGCCAACCTCTGGCCATAGGAAGGGTTTCCAACCACTAGACCAGGCTGTCCAGGGCTAGGGTTAGGATCCCCAAGCTCGACCACAACCCACCCCCCCAATGACCACTGCCAGCATCCCTCAAAGCCACATCTCCATTGTTCTGAACCTCTCCAGGGAAGATGAGCCCACTACTCTCTGGGCAGCTGTGACAGTGCCTGACTGCTCTTCCATAGAATAAATTTCACTTAATATCCAACCTGAATCTCTCCTGGCACGGCATGAGGCCATCACCCCCTCCTCCTGTCACTGTTACCTGGGAGCAGAGGCCAACCCCCCTTAACACAGCCTCCTCTCAAGGAGTTGGAGAGAGCCATAAGAGGTTCTCTTCACTTCCTCTTCCCCATGCTGAGCCATCCCACTCCCTCAGCCACTCCCCGTAGTGCATGTGCTCCAGATCCCTCCCAGCTCAGTGTCTTTCTTGCAGTGACACAGGCCACAATGCCATTGGCATTCTTGGCCACCTGGGCACACTGCTGGCTCATGTCAACCAGCATCCCCAGATCCTTTTCCACTGTGGTTTTCCAGCCACTCAGTCCCAAAAGCAATAACTCCTGGTGAGTCTGCTCTTGGACTTCAAATGTGGGATACCTCTTTTGGTATGAAGTCACCAGCTTTAGTTGTAAAAAACCTCAAAGCAGCGCCCTCTTCCTCTTCACAGCCCATGCCCAGGTAGCTCTGCACAGACCTGAAGTATTAACCAAGAAAATGAAGCAGTTATGCTTTTAATTGTTATGCAGACATGCTGAGCAGCCTAACACAGCTTTTAAAGCATGACCCAAATGTATTTTGGGCCTGAGGTGGGCTCTCAGGATGGTTGCTGCCAGAGCTCAGCTGGCTGCAGGCTGCAGGAACCCAGAGCTGTGCAGACCCAATCCAGGTCACCGATAACAATGCCATCTCAGCTGCTTTAAGCTCTTTAGCCGAAATCCTTCACTGCCAGGAGAAGGCAGTGACATGGAGGAGATCGGCCCCAGCCCCACCAATGTCACATGAGCCCCTCGGCAAAGTTTCTTTGCTCATAGCCTCTTCATCAAGACAGGAAGTTATTTCCAGTTTAGCTATATTTTATTGACGTTGTGCCTGTGTATCTATCATATGGGGGGGAGAGGAACTCCTCGCTCATTACCACTCTGTGCTGCAGGCACCGAGCTTCTATGTCACAGCCCGAGCGATCAGTGTGCCACAGTACTGTGCTGCATAGCTGTGTGCCACAGTACTGTGCTGCATAGCTGTGTGCCACAGTACTGTGCTGCATAGCTGCATAGCTCTGTGCGACATTAAAGGGGAAATCGGAGCTGCTTTTCTGCTCGCTCCCAAGCAGCCTTTTTTTTTTTTTCCCCCTCTGCTTTCCCCTGGTTCCCCCAGCTCTGCTTGGATAGCTCCTGCACTGCGCACAGCTCCTGGGCAGCTCCAGAGCAGCTTTGGAGAACTGTTCGGCCGCAGCAGTGCTCTGCATAGAAGCAGAGCCAGCATCCAGCCTTTCTACTCGGCGCAGAGCAGCCCTTAAGCTCCTCACGCTGCTCTGCTCTGTGACCATCGCCGCTGCTACGTTTGCAGCTTTCCCTCTGCTGCTGGCAGGGAAAAGGCATCCGGTGAGCTCGGCTGCCCAGAGCCGCGGGGCTTCCTGCTGCATGCAGGCTGCGGATCAGGCAGCACCACTGAGAAGAAAGCAAAAAGCAACAGAGAGGAGGAACCTGGCAGGGATTAACCTCAGAAAGCTCTGCAGGACAGACATTCCCCCACCACTGCCATATAGGCACAGTCCTGTCCCAAGGCACAACTGCAGGAGCTGCAGAGCCCCCCCAACCTGTGCCCCATCCCGGTGCCAGCTGGGGCTCACTGCAGACCCTGCTGCCTCCATGGAGCCATCCCCACGCACCACTCAAACCTCAGCACTGGGGCTGCAGCAGGTAATGTGAGCCCTGCAGGACACCCATGGTGAATCCTCACCGCACATCCCAACAGAAATTGTGCCTCAGAAGCTCTGGCTATGAGCACAGTGTGTGCAGTTCTGTTCCATCTCAGTGCAGAAAACAACCAGGCTTCCTGCTGGGCTGCCTGCTGATGGAGAAGCTCCATTACACCTCCCTACATCACTCCTATGCAAGCATGGCGAGGTAGCAGGACAGCAGCGGGAACTGGGCTGACCCTGCAGGGATGTACCACAGCAAAGTCAACACCAAGGAGGGCAGATGACAAATGCTGCCCAGCTGTGGCACAGGGACTAGCCCAAGCTCGAGTTATCATTCCCCTGGGGTGGGAACAAGCAATAAACATACCAAAACTATCATGAAAATAGAGTGTTTGGGGTTATTCTAATCAGAGCAGAGCAGGATGCCAGCAGGGTGCCCAGCTGCATAAGTTCACCCTACAGAACAGACTTATACAGCTAAGTATCACTGAAGGATAACAGCTGCCAATTCTCAACCACCTCCCAGCCTGGGCCCAGCCCAGTGTTGACTGCAGCCCCACTCCATCCAAGGGCAGGTCAGGGTTTTCCCAAGGACGAGCCCAGCGGCTGCTTGCACCCCTCTATCTCAGTGCTGTTGTAATGTGCAACAACACAGGCAGGGTGAGGAAGGGAGCATGAGGCCAGCAGTGTGCACTGAGCAATGTGTGCTGAGCCAACACTTCTCTGTTATGCCACACACTGCACCGTGCAGACAACGCAGTCTTCCCAAGGTTCCTTGCATAGTGATTAATACATTTATTCCAAATGCAGCTCAGCCCAAGCTGTGTATTTCCAGCTCGTCTCTGCTTATTGAATAGTAAATTTAGGCAATTACGTACATTATTCTGCTATCCATACACGTCAAACACCACCCGACTGCAGTTTGTAGCAGCTCATTTCTCTAAATAAAGTTCTGTAAAGAAATATGTTCTAAGATGTGAGGCTTGGATGCTGAAAGCAGCTCCCTGCATGGCAGCGGGTTGGGGACAGCACAGAGCCCACAGGGCATCCCCTGCAGGAACTGCAGCACTGCTGGAGCTGCACCCTTCACATTCCACCCGCAGCAATTTTGCTTAAACCAATAATGTGTAATAAGCACTGCTAAAATATGTTCTTCCCAAAGAGGGATTTTTCCAAGCCTTCATGGTTCTCCTGCCATCCCACAAAGCAGGCAGAGGGACTCTGCCCCACAATCCTTGTGCTGCCTGACAGAGATGGAACAGTCGAGAGAAAGCACTCCCAAAGTACCGGGGTCACCTGCTGTGGTCAGTGCATGCAGCTGGTGCAGCATAGGGGTGATGGCACTCCTACCTCCCCCCGCTGCCATGAAGGTCCTTTGGGAAGAACCCTACAAAGGTACTTCACATTTTTGGACCCTGAACAGAAAACAGCCCTCGAGTTGCTGCAGTGTCACCCAGCAAGGAGTGCAGGGCCTCCCTGCAGAGGACAGTGCCTGCACGGCTGCAGCTACCCAGGTCTATCCAGAATGGGGACGGAGCCAAGCGACAATGAAACCACACACAGAAAATTCAGCAGAGCTTATCAGGAGGCAGCAGGCACTGGGTGAGCTGCGGGAGGGAACCAAATCCCCTTTGCAGCTGTTGGCCCAAGCACCAGCACCACAGTACGGGCAGAAACACGGAGTAAATGGTGCATTTCCATGGGGTGCAGAGCATCCCCGCTCAGCTCCATCGCTGCTGCGCTCCCCCAGCATGCAGACCCCACAGCCATCTGCTGATGGTTTAGGAACAATGCTTTTTGTCAAGGACATTTTGCCTGGCATCCTATTCCCCATCACATCTCCTCCTCACATCTCCCTGGGACATCACACGCCCTGCTCAGAAATCCAGGGCTGATAATTCACTGATAATGATCGGAGGCTCACAGACTGGAATCAATTATGAGGAAATATCCCTGTGTGCAAAGTGGGTCACAGAGCTGCATTCTGGGGGCTGAAAAGGGGCATTTAAAACACACTGGGAGCAAACAACTCCCACTCTGTGCCAGTGCCATGGCACAGTGCTGGAGATGCTGCGTGCCCTGAGAGCAGAAGCAGGTGTGCAAATGGCTTTGCTACCGATGATGGGAACAGATGTGCTTGCTGAGGGGAGCTCAGAGGCTTCAGAGTAGATTACTTCACAGGAAAGTACGTGTGTGCACACGTGTGCAAGAGCATGGGTGTGCATTTGGGCGACTTGCTGGGAACAGGAGATCCCTGCCTTGCTGTGCTGGTAGGAGGCTCCGCACCGTGCACACCGAGGGTCCCATGACCATAAAGCTGCACGCAGCTGCTCTTTGCCCACCTTCATCCATTCATGCATAAAGCTGTAGAAAAATAACGTGAACAATAAGCAGCGAGAGGAAAGAGAAATCATTTGGAAAATGGCTGGGCATGGGAATACCTGCCTTGCACTAGAGAGCCATAGCTCAGGAAGAGAAATCACTTAACAGAAAGGACAGCTGGCAGGGAACAAAGGGCACAGCTGGGCACAGCCAT